TCCCTAAAAGCATTACTCTGAAAAAGAAACATAGCAACTGTTTTCTTCAGCCAGAAGATAATAACAAAAAAATACAGACCACCAAACTTTGCATCAGGTAAATACACCGTGAAGAGTGTTAAACTGTGTAAGTTGTGCTGAGAAGTTTTTCCTTTAACAAGATGATTACAGATATTTCAATCATAGAAATGTACTTCCGATTGTGAAGAATAATAAAAAATGATGACATGATAAGAGAGGAAAAAAGCAATGGGTGAGGGAAGAGTTTATTAGTACCACAGCTACTATTTCTTAAGGTGCTAAAATACCCCAATGAATGACTTAATCTAAAATAAAAATGCTTTTAAATTAAGAAGGAATTAAAATCAGCATTTAAATATCAACTTCATATAGAAATTTTAACATGACTTAATAAATCTTTCAGTGCGAAGCAAGGCTTTAATGTTTTATACTAATGACAGTAGCAATGACCAAACTTTTGGAAAGTTCAAATACTGTTATTTGCAATTATTTCTTTTCTCTTAGTGTCTGGGAATTAGGCTGACTACTGAAAATCAACATGGTGCAAACAGAGAGTAAAAGTACTGAATTAAAGACAAAATCCAGACACAAGAGGAGCAAAAATATAGAAACCATTCTCTGCTTTGGACAAACTAAAACCTACTGAGGCCCAAATTCTGCCACTGAATTTTGAAGGGACTGGCCTGTCCTCGCCTTGGAATAACTAAAATCAGCATCTGCACTGTAAAAAGTGAAAGGCAGAGCCTTTCCAGAAGAGTTTACAGTTTCACACTTTTCATTCTTGATGCAGACCTTGGTAATCTTTTTTGGCTCATTCTTTGGGTTGTGGGTTATTTGGTTTGTTTTTCTTTGCCCAAAGTGACCTCCGTATCAGCACACAGACACCTGAATTACTACAGCAACTTAAAGGCATTTGAAATGTATTTCTGAATTTAAGTGCTTCACACATCATACCGTTAAGCTGTTACTAATATTTCATTTAAACTGAGCAGTTGAGAGGCGTGAGACTGAGGAAGAAGGAAAGAATACAGATCCCCCTAAGATGCAATATCAGTTATCAAGAAGTACTGTACCTATAGGTGGCAAGTATTTTATTTTGCACAAAATCCATTATAGAAATTTAAGTGAGGATTTATTCACCTACATTAACATTATGCAACTATGCATTAGGAGATTAATTTTAGAACTGCAGAAACCAGTACACTAAAACCTTAAACATACTTTTGGTTCTGCAGTGCAAGCTTGTGCATTAAGTATGTTTAAAAGTCTTCACTAACAGCATCAGTTTTAGTTAATGTTCACTCCTCAGCATCATAAAACCCTAGCTTTAGAGCATTATAAAAAGCCAAATACTGAAATGCCACTAGTTAAAGGAACACGAAACATCATAGTTGTAGTACTTCTGATAGCAAAAGATCTTTTAATGTTTCATGACTACTGCAATCTAAAAGTCACAATATAAAAATCCTGTTGCCTCTGGTAAAATCAGTGTTTCAGAAGTTACCATAACATTGCTAGCTTGTGAGATTTTAATAAAAAAAAGCCCTAGGCACCGTGTTAGGTAAGTAAGGAGTAACAGTTTTTCAAATGTACAATGATTAGAATTTTAAAAGCATGACAATTTGTATATAATCTACCATAAGTACCACTAAATTGCAGCTTTATCCAACTTCTGTGCTCCTCAATCTCCCTATTCTTTTTCCTGTACTCCCCAGACTGATTTGGATAGACGGGCATCCTTCTCAGCGCAGAGAAGGTACAACTGACAATGCAGGACTGGCATTCCCATTGCTGTTCTGACACAGATCGCCAAGAACACAACAGAATTAGATGGGTGGGGAGAAAGCAGGGTGCAGAACACACACACAGAACTAGTCTCTCTGGAAGAATTCTAGTTAAAATGCAGTACAAATAAGTTATCTTTTAAATGTTTATATATGCAATTCCACAGAAGGTGACTTCTCAGCATTGCTTAGAGACTTATTTTAGAACAGGTTAAAGGAAGAAATTGTAATCCGGTCTTCCTAGTCTGAAACATTAGACTGCATCAGAATGTTCAAAATTATCTTCCGTTAACTGTAGGAGACACAGTTTTGTTTTAAACTTTAACAGCACCTACCTCTAAGTATTTTGCACTGGTAGGTGTTCCTTAGCATTACCAGATTAAAGACAATGAATATAAAACTACTCTTTTAACTTTTCATTTTCAAAAGAAAGCTTTATACAACCTCTCATGTTTCCACATTCAAATGAGCAATTCATACTCATTTTGTTTCACTGACTTGGTTTTTAAAGAAAGATCAAAAAAAATCTCTGACAAATGCAACTGCAACACTTAAAAATATTACTATTCCTCCACATCCAGACTTTCTCTACTACCACAAGTCCAGAAGAGTGAAACATAAAATGCATTTTGCAGTGAAATGGGCAAGAACTACTCTCTAACTGGTCTACCAGCTTTTTTGTGGGTAATCTCTATCAGGAAAGGTGGCAACAAGGTACTGGAAGGAGTGTCATTTTGAAGTCCAGTAGTTTCCATAGCAAACATCTACTCACAGGCTGTCTTGGAGCAACTCAGCATCTCATGCATGACACTTCTTTAATACCACAAAATGAGGAATGACAATCAAATCTGATGGGACATGTGAAGTAAGACTTAACCACTACTTTTGAATGGAGTAGCTACAGAAATGTTTGACTATGATTCACTCACCCTGAGAAAGAAATACATTCTAATCTACCTCTAAAATAGAATTTATATGAACATTACAGATACATCAGAAGGGTTTGAAGTCATAGAATCATGGAAGCATAGAATGGTAAGGGTTGGAAGGGACCTTAAAGATCATATAGTTCCAACCCCCCTGCCATGAGCAGGGACATCTTCCACTACACCAGGTTGCTCAGAGCTCCATCCAACCTGGCCTTGACCATTTCCAGGGAGGGGGCATCCACAACTTCTCTGGGCAACCTGTGCCAGTGTTTCAAGATCCTCATGGTGAAGAATTTCTTCCTAATATCTAATCTAAATCTGCCCTCTTTTAGTTTAAAGCCATTACCCTCAACCTGCTGGCCACGCTTCTCTTGATGCAGCCCAGGATACGGTTGGCTTTCTGGGCTGCAAGCACATATTGCCGGCCCATGTTGAGCTTCCTGTCCACCAGTACGCCCAAGTCCTCCTCCTCAGGGCTGCTCTCGAGCCACTCTCCACCCAACCTGCACTTGTTTGGGATAGTCAAGTCTACAATAAGTGCTTAAGTGTCCTTCTGCCTTAAATAAGGCTGGCACTTTTAGCTTTGCAGTTATCATGAAGAATATGTTACAAACTAAATGAAAACACTGTACTGATTTCCCATTTCATACATCCCTTCTCAAATTTAGAGATGTGCGTAAATTGACATACATGATCGTCTCTGCTGAATTTTCTTCTAGAAAACTTGACGGGGGGAGGGAGAGTCTTTCAGGCAATGTCTTATACTGTACTGAAGTATGCATGCAATTATTTTGTAATACACAATTGTAGTAAAGTACAACTAAGAATCCAATTTTTAGAATAGACTACACTTGCAAATTTGTCTTGATAGTCACGTAACTAGAATGTGCATTCATATATATGGACAAATAATGACATCCACAAATACAATGAAGTTTTTAAAATGTTGTTTAAATATTAAATTCTTAACTCCAAAAAGTGTCTCATCTGGCATGTACTCAGAAGAACCTTGAATTAAGCTATTAAGGTTCCACGAGTAAAAATTACACTGATCTTTAAGGTAAGTTTCACCTATGCGTACTTCACCTTTAGCCAATAATGGTTATTTTCTGTGGACTTAAGTTGGGGGTATTTTCTGGAATTTCTGCTCTTTCTCAAATAAGGATTCCATCTGCCAGAACAATATGCTTCTTATTCCCACTCTTCAAGATGCCTCTGTTTGTGCTCCACAAATATAAAGTCTTGTATAAAAAAAGATGAGAAATTCTCTGTAACATCATTTAAGGCCAGCAGATCAACAATTTATGAATATTGTTTTCAGCTTTTCTGTCATGTGTGTATCATACAAGGCCCATACTTGCCACTTGGAAAATCATTAATCTTTTTTTTTTTCTTCCGTTGAATGTGCATTATAGAAGAAGTTTCAAGTAGCCAGTTCAGATATGTAATTAGCAGTTGCTTCTTGACAGATTTGTTTTTCTACCACCGCTATTGCACTGTTCAACAAATTATAAAAATTAGTCCTGCAGTACATATAAACTGATCTGCTTTAAGTGGTTGATCCAAATCCTATTTCAGTGAGTTTTTCCATCAGTAGTTAGTTAAATTTTTCTATGTAAAGGAAAGTATATGCTGGAGGGCACTGTAAAAAGTAAAAGGCAAGGGCCCACCTGCATCCAGAAGGCTAACTAGGCTCTCCTTGTTCGAACAGCAGTTTCAGAGACTTTTGTGTCTTATTCAGATCACTCTTCAGATCTAAAATCCAAGATGATATTTTTGTACATACTGTGTGGGCCCTCAGTTACATGGGGTAAATAGATAAAGCATCTGATTTTAGTCATTTAGTCTGATAATTTGCTTTAGAGACAGATACCAACAGTTAGCAATAAGAGAAGAAAAATAAGGCTGAGGAATGGGAAAAAAAACACACCACCAAAACCCAATGAAAAAAAGAGAAACCTGACAGGTTTAGCAAGCTGAGTGTCTCGTGAAAGCACAAAAAGCGTGTTGTTGTTGCAAGAAGGCTGCTGAGCCCAGTTACCAGACAAGTTTTGAAGCAGCTAGGGTTGTATATGAAACAAACATTTAAGCTTGTTTGCATAGCCAAAGTTGGTTTTATGGAAATTTCCCAGGGCTAGCAATAAACACTTTTTACACCTACATAGTGTTTAGCCACAAATATAGGCACGGATCAAATAAAGTGACTTTTCAAGTGTAAGGTGACTGGCATATCCTCAACATAAATTACCACACAGATCTTTTTTGAAGGCCTACCTGGCAGGTAATATGCCTAGGAGCCACTGAAAGAAAA